GGTCTATTGGGTCCATTAGTGTAACACTTTAACCATATTTAGTATTTTATTAATGGCAATGGACCAGTCCAAAATCCATTAGTTCTCAATGGACCAGTCAATTTGCCAATCCTGGTATGATATGATGCCAGATTAAAAATAGATATGGAAAAACTGGATCAATTATGATTTGTGAATTAAAGAATGAAATTTGTACATCAACACAATGACCATATATTCAAGGAAATATCTCTTATGCTAAATATTGGGCACAAGAAAAGGTAAATTTTACATACAAATTAATATATAGCCTGTAGTAATAAAATACTTATTTAATTAAATTTATTAGGATGAAATAAAAAAAGTGCGAGAGATATGCAATTGCCCATGTTTTATCATAACAATAGCAAGTCCGTGGCCTTGTATTTCAGGGGCAGTATACTTCGATCAACCAGTTGTTGATCCTCTTACACCATTTGTGCCCCTCATTCGAACAAAGGATAACAAATGTTAGCACAGATGCTTGAAGCTTTACAACAGCCTGTTTGTTCATTAAGGGAATTTTATGAGCAACTTAACTTAACAGATCATTCTTTAGATAATGCACAACAATTTTTTCCTTATTTTGAAACAAACAATAAAATTGGTAAATTTACTTATTACATTGAATTAATAGAAGAAAGGAATATTTGGTATGCACACACAAATTGTTAAATTTGCACAGCAATACAATGCTGAAGCACATCAACTGTGTGCTGAATGTGGACTTGCACCTCAATTATTGTACTACAACAAGGATGAAATATATGATTTGTTATGGAATATATCAATGGTAGTTAAGGTTGCTTGCTGAAACCTCTTAGTGACTGTCAAAATTCTGTCAAAACTCTAATGAACAATTAGTATATACCTTGTCAAAACTCTGACAATTGACAAAACCCCCAAATGTGAAACTCTGCAGAAACTCTAATAAACAATTAATGTGTAACCTGTTAAAACTCTGTCAATTGATTTCTGGAGAAGTTTTGCCCATAACCTTAATTGTAGCACACTTCTCAATGCTATTAACAATTATGAAACTGAGAAAATATTACAGGAAATTCACAGTGCTTTGCAGAAATTGCATGAAAAAGAACTAGTGTTTGGTGATCTTTGTAAGAGTAATATCATGATTCAAGAGGATATTGATTGTATGAAACATGTAAAACTTATAGACTTTGAGTGGTGTGGTATTG